CCTTGGTTATAAATTATGGAACTTGGGCCCTCTCTTCCCTCCACTCTCTCCTTTCATCCTTAATCCAGAAGCTTAGCTGTGTACATGCAAGTGGCTCATCAGGGTATTTTCCTAAACAAAGACATTTCTCTTAGAAGAGGAATCCTGCTGCTACTGTTAAGATAGTAAGTACACCACAGATGGTGCTTTCATTTCAAAAACAACCACAACACAAAAGAAAATATGAAATTTTTGTTTAATTGTTGTGTTTTTCTATTCTATGGTTTCATGATTTAGTTTGGCAAGGATACAAATTAATATTTAAGCTTCTACTGGAACTCAACTGTTGATTTTGTTGTAGTGGTGTTGCTGGTTCTAAATATAGCCAGGCAAGATGAGAAAAAGACACATTAAACTTCTTATCTATTTCTTTATGGCAGTTTCAGAGAGTTTATATTTAAGCTTAAATTTAAATAAGCATTCTCATATTATCACTACCTGGTTAGAGTGTTTCACTGGCGCAATCATCATATTACTCAAATGTATAAAAACTGTAAGTGAGGCTAGGGCCGCGTCGATAAGCCACCTGGGATTCCTTCTTTCTTTATACTTCTCTTTCCACTCTACATTGGAGGTTGCAAACTGGAGGTTTGTGGGCCCCATCTCATCTCCCTGGTCCATGCTATACAGAAAAACAAAAGCAAGAACTAAGAAATATTTGCTACTATTAAAAGGAAATTTTATCTAGAAACCTGGATTTCTTACTTCCTTTGAAAAATCAGATCTACTAAAGATCTAAGGTTTTATTTTCACATGAGAACCATGTAAAGAACAACTGCTCCTTTTACCATCCTTTCTACTATTCTCTCTGTCTGTTCAGCACTGAGCCTGAGTAAGGGGGCATTTATACTCATAACAGTACTATGATTACCCCAGCTTGCTTCTTCACTCTTGTATCTGCCCGGCCAGTATAGACATGTGAGTTTCTGGCCCCTGCTGGGTGCATGATCCCTGGAAATTTCATCAATTATAATTATTTCAAGTCCTACCTATGGGACTTTTCACTGAATCTATCTCCCTAAAGCATATTGTAGGACTCAAACACAAAATTATGACTTTATTAACTGTACAACTGCTATTAAGAGCATTTTTGTTTATGTTGGTTAATGTCCCTTTTTCCTTGAGAGGAAGTGCCAAGAAAAAAGAAAAGATTTTTTTCTCGTCAATAAATTTTATAGCATATAGCTTTTCTCTTTTTGTCTTGGCTACCAGGAAGTTCAGAACTCAATTTAATAATGTGTCATAATTCTCGTGGTATTTCTCTTCTTTATGCATCATGGATTATTATGTTAATACTAAAGTTAGCACACACATACACATGTTCTACAATTTTCAAGTGCATTTCGCAAGAGTTCAGGCTTCAACACGTCAGTATGTAAGTGATACATATACTAACTTCTCAAAACTATCCTCCAAATTAACAACAGATTTGTATTTATTATACTAATCAGGCTATGCCCTTATGCCCTTGCTTATTTATGAATCCTACATATCTACCTCTTGCTTATAAGAAATTTAACCTGTTAATCGGCACATCTAAAACCCTTTATCACATTTCTGCAACCCACCCTCCTATCCACTTCTGCCCCCATAAAGTTCAGTAATGGACTAATTATAGTTCTCCAAATGTACCATGGCACTTCCCACCATTGTCTTTCACAATACCATTTATTCTATCTATAATCCCTCTAATATTTTGAAGGTAAATCTACGATGGCAAATATTACATTGTAGTGTCATTTTTTAAGCACATGAATTTTAACCAAATTCTTCCAGTGAAGAACCTTGTTCATTTTGAATATTTTCATTTTGGTATACCTGATACTCAGCACCATATTTGGTATACAAATTGTGCTCACTGGCTAATTTATTAATTTAGATAAATTAGTAAATTGACTAATTTAGCCAAATTTGGTTTGCTGAAATATTGCTAGAATTGAAATAACTGATACAGGGTATATTTTAGACTTTAAGAAATGGGGAATGTTTTTTAGAATAAGTTTGATTGTTTACTATATGCCAGGTTCTCTTCAAAATATATAACATGTATTAATTCACTTAATCCTCCCAGCCACTCTATTATCCTATGATTTAGTACCCATTTTAGAGAAGAGGAAACTGAGGGCCAGAGATTAAGTAATTTCTCCAAAGACGCACAGTTGGTAAGGAATGGGCCAGATTTGAACCCAGGGGGTCCTGGTTCCACAGCTGGTGTTTATAGTCTTCTACTCCACTGCCTCTCATTTACATATTGAAAGTATATCTGTTCCTTATGAAACCAAATAAATAGTAACTAATCTTTTTTTTCATTATTTATTTATTTATAAATTAATTAATTAAATTTTTATGGTGACATTAGTTAACGAAGTCCTATAAGTTTCAGCTGTACATTTTAACAGTAAGGCGCATATATATATATATATATTTACATTATGTGTTCACCTCCCATATTGAGCTTTCTTTCTGTCACCACATATTTGACTCCTTTTACTCCATCTACCTCCCTCTTTCCCCCTCTCCCACAGTAATCTTAACTTTCATTAGTTTTATCAGTTCTTCTGGGAACGCAGGGATTCTTTTGGGCTCCAATATTTGATGAGCAGTTTAATTCTTGAAAAGTATAGAAAAGTATAGCAAAATATATTAGACAGTAGTACCTTTGATTATAGTATGCGTGTGCACATTAATTATTTAACCAAGAATAAAGAGTGAAAATGTACCAACCTGTCTCTACCATCACAAGTAACTGAAAGCAATAATTCTCATTGCAGAAGACAGAAAGAATCACCTATTTGTGAAGTCACTGGCACAGCTCACAGAAAGGGGATGTGGAATTGATTTCCTTAGAATCCTAAGATGCAAACATTTTATGTAAAAAGACTTAGTGTCAGATGTCCTTAAGGTATACTCTGAAAATAAGTGACTTTTTCCACATTAAGATCTTCATTCTCTTTCACATTCAACTGAGTAAACCTAAAGTGGAGATGATACAGTCCTAAGTTGCTGATGGTAATGCAAGTAGTGTCTTCCATGTTTCTTACATTATAGTAGCGGGGATCAGATGAGAATAAAAGTTGGCTTATGGACCTGCGTTTCCTTATGGACCTGCATTTCCAAAGCTGGAGGCCCTGTTTTCTCTAAGTAAACATCAGTCACTAATGATGCTATCAATAAAGTGAACCAGGCTCTGGGCAGAGACCTGAGGTGTTAGAAGCCAGGTGTCAGCTCCTCTGACCCCTGAGTAATCTCAGTTTGGGTCAGCTTTTACCAACCCCACTCCCAGCTGGTTTTGAGATAGATTTTAACTAATAAATAATATGCTTGGATGCCTTGGACTATCTCAATTAAAAAATGAGTGACATGCCAAAGTCTCAGCTGTTTATCCTAGAAGGTGCACTTTCAACCAATATGTTATATTTCTTAGTCATTTGAGGATAAGCCAAATTTGCAGCATTCTATGTTATTTTCCTCACCACAAATGTCTGAACAAGCATGTTTTTATCAGTCTTTCCTATGAGGCATGGTCTGGCGATTGACTCAGTGAGACTGTTAATTATTAATGAGAAAACTAATAGGATATTTGCAAAAATAGAATTTAGCGGAAGGAAACATTTATTTTGATGGGATCTTACTCAAACTTGAGGTAGCACTGTCTACATAAATTCCTTTGGGAGGAGGCAGACTGTCTTTTGGCTATTTTAAAATCATCGAATTAATCACTGTATGTCATCTTTGTCATGAATAGCATCTGCCATTAACAAAACCTGTTTCCTTTGGGAAACTATTAGCTTTTCAGTGAATTAGTTAAAGTTATGGGGCATTCTGAATAAATTATATTCTGCAAGAGAAACCATTTGATAATTCACATTCTCATGAGAAATACTGAAAGAAAGTTTCTACAGGCAATAATGTCACATTCCTTATAGTTAATATAAATTTAATTCTTAAAAGTTTTATTTTTTTATACTTTAAAAGATGTGTTATTTTTTAGAATGTGTATAGAAAACAACTCTTTTAAAAAAATATTATTTATATACATTTCATGTATATAAAACATCACAATATTTAGCCTATTTTAAATAACCATAAAAACCAGTTAAGTGATTTCCATGGTCTGTAACTAGGAAGATTGAATTCTTAAATTAACTTTAATAAAGGTCTATCAGAAATGTCTTTGTAGGTTAAATTGTAGAAGTATGTAAAAGTCATCTATGAATATATGTGTTATTAAGGATAATTATAAAGTACCAAAACATCGTGCTACTTATCAATCAATGTAGATCATGGCATTGAGAGTCGTTGCTTTTAACTCACTGTACTCTTTCCAAAAATGCTGGGTGATCTCAGTCAGGGCAGCTTTTGCTATTTCTCTTCAAGAGTTCCAGTGGGGCTCCAAACCATGGAATTATGTCATTATTTTCAGCTCTGTCACTATGAACAGCTAACAACACCTGGCCTCAGCTCCCGTATGTCAACTGATTGTCACGGTTTTAGTTTGAGGTTTCAATTTGTCTCTTTGTAGGTAAAAACGTATCAGTCTATAATATCAGTGATCTAATAAACAGCTGGCAGCTGTTAAGGTATCATATAATTAATCCTATGGAAATATCGAAAACAGGTTAGCAAATACCTTAAATGCATTTTTTGGTTGTTTTGTTTACTGTGAATATATGTTACTTTATTGTGCTCTTTTTTGTTATACCCTGGTTGAATTGTTTTCTGTTTAAAAAAAGCAGTTTTGAGTTTGTTCATGTGTTCTATTTTCTTATTGAAAAACAACTATACTTTTGCTATACATATATTCCCAATAATAACAGATTATTCTCTATTCGTTGTATATAGAAAAAAGTGCATGCAAGAAGAGGTACATCTGGTCATCTCATGGTGGATGAGCTTCTGAAGGATGAAAGAGAAACCACATTCCTTCTTCTAACTTTCTTTTCTTCCTTTTCCCTCTACAGGAACTTTTTACCCCTGAATGCAAGTTTAAAGAATCTGTTTTTGAAAACTATTATGTAATCTACTCATCTATGCTGTACAGACAACAAGAATCTGGTAGAGCCTGGTTTTTGGGATTGAATAAGGAAGGGCAAGTTATGAAAGGAAATAGAGTAAAGAAAACCAAACCAGCAGCTCATTTTCTACCCAAGCCATTGGAAGGTGAGTGTTATGTGTGCATTATCTTTATCAGATTTATTACACATTTATTTTTCACAGTGATAACTCTACCATGGATGCAAGGAACCCTCATGTAATGGTAGATATATTCTTTATCTGGATGTGGGTATTTGTTGCATAGGTATCTACTTAAGTTGTGCATTTAAGATTTGTATACTTCACCGTATATATGTATACAGGCATATTAGTGAGTACATATATTTATATATGTGTGCGTGTATATACATATACAGAATACATAAAATGACAGTAAGTCATTGAAACCCAAACAATTAATGACCAGGGCCTATCTAGGAAAGGAAAAATTACATAGGAGTCTGAAATATGAGTGAATTATTATGCATTATATGATAAAGCATAAATAAGAAATTAGAGAGGTTTCCTGGCCTTCCAAAATAACACCTCTATGATTTGGCCTTATTCTTTCAAATGAATTTTGAGACCATTGAACTCATCAATATTCAAATGCAAGAAAAAAATTTAAAAACTAAGTCAATAAAGAAATCTTGATTTATTTATTGTCACCTTGCTTTGTCTCTTTACATTAATTTTTGTTTTAAATATAGACAATTAAGAATTGACTAAATTTCTAAAACCTTATCTCTTAGCTGCATAAATGTAATGAAAACGGACAGGGCCTTTATGTCTCTTAACTGAAGCGAAATGTGGAAGTTAGCAATTTAATATACCCAACAGGAAATATCTGATACTCTAAAAGTGTGGTGTAATATTACTTGGTATTTCAATTGCACACTGAACTGTTGTACGTAATGTGTGTGTTATGTGTATGTATATAATATGAGGAAGAAACAGTATTTTTAAATAATTAGCAAAGTACTTTTAAAAACAAAGAAGAAGGTGTTATAATGACAGAGGTTATCACATAATGTAATTGATAGAGAAAATTAATTTCTAACTTTCAAGACCCACACAGGATATAAATTATATCACTGGAAATGTTAGGACAAATTCGGTACTTGATTAATTATTGATGCTCTGGAACATTTGTATCTCTTACATAACTTCAATCAAGGTTAATGTTCCAATGTTATTGTCTCCCAATTAAATTAGTAGTTGGAGTGAGGGATTGGAAAGAGGGATTGGAAAGTGCTTCAAGGATTTGGATTAATCCGTTTTACTACATTGACAAGTCCTTTAATATAGGTCTGATGTACACATGCACTTTCAAATATGTGTGCCACTGAAAACTCACATTATGCATTGATGCAAAAGGTAAAACTCTACCATCTTGAACATGGAGAATGCCTATGGTAGGTTCCAACTAAACACATCTCTTCGTACAATACAGTAAGTCCTCACTTAACATCAGCAATAGATTCTTGGAAACTGCAACTTTAAATGAAACATTTAACGAAATTAATTTTACCATAGGCTAACTGATATTAGCAAGAGTTATGTTCCTATGGCATATTTCTGGCCTCATAAGTATCACTGAACTTCTAAATAAAGACTCTAAACATTTCTAATATTAAACATTGAAATAAATGTAGGTTATACATACACTTAAGAAAGATTAATAAAAATGAGTAAGAGAATTATTTTCAAACCCACTTATTCTAGCTCAGGGTTGCAGGTGGCAGGAGCCTTTCCCTGCAGCTCAGGGCACAAGGTAGGACTCTTCCTCGGCCAGGATACCCTTCTATCACAGGGCACACTCACACCCACGCCTACATTCACTCAGACTGAGACAATTGAGGCACACCAATTCACCTATTGTGCACATCTTTGGGATGTGAGAGGAAACTCACATTCACTTGCAAACACTAGTCCCTGGAGAAAACCTACGCAGACATAGAGAGAATGTGCAAACTCCACACAGAGAATGTGAAGAAAGTAATGTCTTCCGTTTGAGGACGGAGAATTACTGCTTTAAAACAGGACTTCTTCTCAACGTGATTGCTTTACCTTAGGGTAAACAGGACTGAGCAAACTGCTGAGGTCTGTGCGTGTATTGATGCTTGAACCTAATCAGGTAATGTTTCCTTTTCCGCCTTTCTTCACACCTTCCTGCCAATAGTTGCCATGTACCGAGAACCATCTTTGCATGACGTTGGAGAAACGGTCCCCAAGGCCGGGGTGACGCCAAGTAAAAGCACAAGTGCGTCTGCAATAATGAATGGAGGCAAACCAGTCAACAAAAGTAAGACAACATAGCCAGATCCTCACAGGTGTTGTGACTTACTCATCCTGAGCACAGTTGAGTGATTTATCCTTGCCAGACTTTTCTGCTCCCGTGGCTGAGGAGCAGCTGGAAGTAAGCGGATGCTTGCTCTTTGCTGTCTTGAACTTCTTGGTTGCAAGTGGATAAATCTCAACCTGTTGCACCCCCCACAATAAGAAGACACCTGGATAACCAGCTAAACTCAGACCATGGAATGCCCTACCAGATATGGAATGCCTTTTTAATATCTTTTCTGTGACCGTGACACTTCATGTGAATGACATACTTCACAAGTACACTCGATACCTTGCCTGCTGACAGCTACCCATAATCCTTTTTGAGTCCTGTTTCAGCGAAATCCATGTGTTTAAGTTCAATTTTGTAGCACACAAATACTACTGAGTAATTTCTAGTTAGAAGCTGTAAACCTGTGCTATTACAGATTTCCCTTCTTCCCGTTTTTACAGGGCTGCTCGCTCCACTGTCTGTGACCTTTCGCAGGGATTGTGTTCCTCTAAATCTTAAACGTTGCAGTTGGCGTAATTTGGAGAGTGATCAGGGAATCAGGAAGCCTTCTAAACCTATTATTACAAATCGCATCTATAAAGATTAAGAGTGTTGTCTCCGGCTCACACTATCAATTAAACACACATATATGCTCTAGTCAGTAGCAGATACTGTGCTCCTGAGGTTGGCGTTGCTGGGGTGAGAAATGGGTCAAACACAGTCCGTGGGACATTCTCTACGATATGTGTTTGACATCCCCTCTAGTTTCTTTGTGTGTGTGTGTTTTATACATATCACAAGCTTACTGGTAATGGTAACATTTGCCTTGCCCAGCGAGCAAGACCCACTGGTTTTTGAGAAAGTGGGTCCTAAGAACTCTGTAGGCCTTGTAGGCCTGATTAAGGTTCATTTTTCATCTACTAATCCTCATTATTTGGAAAAAAGAAAAAAAAAATCAATAATTACAACCTACAAGAGTTGCGCTACCTAAATCCATTTCAGATATAATCCTTCCTGTTTTTAATGAACGGAACTCAATGCCATCCCTGGTTTTGGCTGTGTTCCACTCATACTCAGCAGAGCATGGGCAAGGCGGCTGTTGTGTTCTTTTCTGCAGCAGCAATGCAAACCTTAGTTATAAATTAGACTTTAATATTTTTGGTGTTTAATGACAAGTTTTTAAACTGGACACATTAGGAAAAAATATTTTTTTGAGCTCAGCATGCTGAGTCAGGTACTGTGTATTTCACCAGTCCATACCTCTAACTCAGCTTCATGGGCCCAGGTCACCTAATGGCTGGAGTAGAGGTGCCTTGCCATGATCTCAGAAGGCAGTCTGTTGAATTATTCTAGATAAAAGTAAAGGCAAACCAACATGTTCAAACATCAGGTTTTTGGTCCATTCGACTGATTTGCTTTTGTTTTATTTGCTTTTTAAATTTCTTTTTCAATAACTTGGAGTTTAGGGAAGACACCTACCAAGAAAGGCCATGAATAGTTGACTACACAGCGAAGAAACCATACAAAATGTTCAATATTGGATATAAAGAGTTTCAAAATGTTTAATACTAAATTGTTTGGAAATATATTTGTTAACTCTGTGTATACTTAATAAAATTCAATGTTTTGTCCTAAGAAGAGTTACTTGAGACCAAACTGAACCTCATTTATAGAAAACTATATGTGGGATCAATATACTGGCCTCTTGTTATTATTTCCATGTGGAAGGATGACCCAGTTGTCATCCCCTCCCTGCACTGTATTTACTGGGAAATTATTTTGTCACTGCTTTTCTAAGTCTCCATGACAGCCCTTGCCCAGCATTTTAAAATATTGGCCTGCTTAGCTCATTAAAGATTTAGTATAAATTTAACTGTTTATGCTTATTTCATTTTGGATTTCATTTCATATTGGATTCCATTTTAATAAATAAAAAATTAGCATAATGTTTGAGTAGATTTGTTGTTGATAATGCTAAAGTACAAATACAACAAAATGATTCTTTTGACTCTTCTTAATTTTTTGTTGAACCATTTTGAAGCCTATTTTTAACAGGATAAGTTAAAATACACTAGTTGAATTTAATTAACCAATTACTTAGGGAAGATGTATTCCATAATATGTGGCAAACTGTGAATAATTTAACTTGAAATTCCAATGAGATGGGCTTATAAACACTGCTTACTCCAACACACACACACACACACACACACACACACACACACACACACACACATTAAAATACCCCACCAATTTGTTTTTGGTAATTAGCCCTACTTGCAGTTTTTACTTCCCCCCTGCAAGCCTATTTATTGGTTAAAATTAAGACAATATTTTTCTAAATGATGGATTTATGTAAATATGCACCTTTGTTTTGTTTTTTTACATGAGTTGTCTATAAGGGCATTTATTCCTATGAATGGATGTCAGAATACTTTCTTCTAATATATGTTTAGACATATTGCAGAGGGATCTTTGTTATTTGTAAATTAGTTTAATCATTTCCTTTGTGTCTGGTCTCACCTGTTGCATGGGATGAGGACAACACTGACAAACTGCATGTAGGACCTGTGTTTCAAGAACTGTTGGTATGTATTACTCAATTTACATACAAAGAGTTTGTCTGCATTGTACAGTTTCTGTGTTTAATATCATTTGTTGTATTCACAATACAACACATTGAATAAAATATTTGTATAAAGACATATTATAAAACATCAAACAACTTTATGTAATGAAATGGCATTGCACCCCCCACAAATATAGAGAGAAATTTCATGTAAATAAGTTGATAAACTCAATTTCCCCTTTTACCATGCCAAAGAAAAATTTTAGCTTTTTGATGATACCTCTCTTGCTATTTTTCCGGGATAACACTCTCCCATTTTTCCCCTCAAAAATTAAGTCTGCTGTTATTAAGTAAGTGCAATCTGTCGGTATTCTTGTTCTGTATAGTAAATCTGATGGAATTCATTTGTTCTTACAGACCGTGTGTTTTGTACCTCCATGTACTTATGTTGATTATATTGAGTCTAATATCACATTCCTTTTGCATGCATATCTGGTGTGGGAGGGTTATTTCAACTGAATGGTTATAGTAGCTGATTTCCTCACCCATCCTTTAACAATACCTGGGAATGTTAATGGTTTTAATATTTCAAGTGAACATCATTTTTATTTTTGTATCAGTTTGCTCTCTAAAATGTTTTGCTACAACTTTGCTTGGAAAAATTTTAGAAGAGATGCAAATGGTCCACTCTCTGTAAAGAGTAAAATGGTACTGGACATCATTATAAATCCTGCAGAATTTAGAGATTCTTGCTCTAAATGTTTGCTTGCTCTCAGTGTTTGGGGGTAGGGGTGCAGAAGCTCCACAATGGGTCCATAAGACTCTTGCTGCAGTTCTTCTAATCGTTTGCCTTCTGGTTAGTAAGCAGAGTTTCTTTATGACACCTGGCTAGTAGTTTAATTGATGCCTAAATCACTAAAACAGGCAGATGACCAACATCAGATTTAGTTCCCTTTAAAAAAAAAACAAAAAAAGAACGATAAAAACCTTCATGTTCTTTAACTTAAACATGTCATTTAAAGTCTTTCTCTAATATTACAGGGAGAATTAAAATTGAAAGAGAGACCAGATTGATTAAGAAGTCCATTTTAGAAGGAAGTGACAATACTTAAAAATTATTTTCAATTTTATTTCAGAACAAGACTATATCCAATGAAAGCAACTGAGCTGAATCCAAGCATATCAAAATCCAGATGTGAACTGTTACTTTAGAGTAAAATACATTTCATAGCTTAGGATTTTAACTTACAAGGTGGCACGCAGGGCTTGTCAACTCTCTCGAATGCTAAGTAGGGTTTCGAAGTTTTAATGAGTCTGCAGACAAAAGCTGAGTTATGTTTTTTATTTTTTTCCCCTTGGATTTCTGTATCATTCAGTCTAACACTGATGTTTGCTGGCAGAAATAGTGTTTGCGTTTTAAGTGGTGGAGACCTTTCCTTTCAATGGGCTATAGGAACCTAGATTAGCTCAAGGAGCCCAGGGAGAAAAAGAAGGTATAGTGATTATCCTCTTAGGTCTTAAGATCTTAGTCAAATTTTACTGAAAAGGCCTTGTGGAAAAATTAGTGATAGTTTGCCAAGCAAGCAAGATTTGTGCCAACACCACTTGCAAACTTGTTGCATCCTTCCCATTTGAAATTAATTCACTGTAACTTGGGACAAACTTGAACAAACCAATGAGATTTACACATTTTCTCTCCTCCTATTACAAGTTTGTTCTTGCCCTGCCTTTTTTAAGAGATAGTTTCTATCTTAGTAACAGAATCAAATCACATCTAAAAAGGGTAGGATGTATGTCTTTACATGTAACTACGTTTATTTTATTTTTTCTAATTTAAACATGTAAATTAAATCATTTCTTTATGTAGCTGTTGATGTTTGCATTGCTAGAGTCAGAATCTCTCACTCACACACACACACATACACACACATATACGAAATATTACATCAGGTGGAAAAAGTAAAAAAAGTATTTTTGTTTCAAAGAAAAGCATTCATTAGAGTTTAGAGTTTAGATACTGTATGACATAACTCAGTTTCAGCTCAATAATTTGTAGCTAAATGAACCCAGAATGTAGCTGATTGTAATACATTTTCAGTTTGTCAAAAAGTTTGGACAAATTATATTCTGAAATTTGTAACATAAACATTTCTCCATATCTAAACTTTTTCTTTAAAAATAAATGCTGAGGACATTTTTCTTATATTAAAATATAAAAAGAGAAACACTTTTGTTGTAATTGTTTTTGTTAATGAAAAGGGTTAATAATATAATTCTAAGAAAAATAAGACACACCTAGGATTATGTGAAAAGACATAAGAAATCAAGAGCAGTTCCAATAGAGCTATGAGCCCAATCCAGCTCGCAATCTGTTTTTTTCTTTTATGGCTCAGAAGCTCAGAATGAGGCTTTTTTTTTCTTTTTTACAATTTTAAACTATCCAACATAAATAAACAAAGAATATGCAACAGAGATGTATGTGGCCCACAAAGTCTAAAATATTTATTATCTGGTCCTTTTTCCATAGAAAGCAGAGCTCTGCAATAGAGACCCTGAATGTCATTTGTATTATGATCGATAGATAATATAACAAATTCCAATGCATCCATCATCAAGTAAGTCATCCATATTGCTACTAAACAATTATAATAGGTGTGTTTGAGGCTTCAAATGCTTAGACAGAGAAGAGGAAGAATATAATCTATATTTTTTTCTTAAGTGCTTATATTTCCTTCATTTTACAAAACTAATATATCAATTGACATACTCAACAATAGGGATACAACTAATGTGGTTACACTCCTTAAGCTCAGGAAAGATAACAATTTTGTAAATCCATTAAAGTATGAGAACACTATTAGTACTATAAAAATTAATATCAGTTAAATTTTCTCATCTCATTTTCAATGTTAAAATTTAAGTAACTCAGCAGATGCATATTTTCCTTATTTTTAGTGATTTGACCTATAAAATCCAATCCATGACTCTAGAATATTTACGTTAAGTAAAATTTCCAAGTAAAAATTTCCATCAGAAACAACACGGAAATAATTTTGTTACATAATTCTAGGATTTTACAAAATATAATTCACATTTATAAAAAAGTGGGTCTTTTTTAGATCTAAATAATTAAAGATTGCCTAAATAATTAGGCAACTAATTATTAACTAAATAATTAAAGATTTGCTCATACAGAGCAAAATTTCACCATTAAGAAAATAAACATTTTGTTTCTATCATTGAGTAAATATTTGTAATTTCTATTTAAGCTATTTCTAGTTTGTTTTTTTTTCCTCTGAGCTTTTGAGATTGGTGCCATTTTATCGTAGTATCTCTTCTCGACTTCTTTGCATAACTTTACTTTTCCAGTGAGTAATGTATCCTTAAACATAAGAGTCTTTTAAGAGAAATGAATGGATATTTCAGGTCCATAACTAACTAGATATTGTCTTTTTAAAAGGCAAGTTACCATAGAGTAACTTAAATACTGAAAAATCAGATTCCTTTTACATGTAAACCCTGCCCAGTTTTAAAAATGTTCTCGTAACAGAAAATGAATACTCTTAAATAACGATTCATTTTTTTTGTTAATTTCAGTTGGTAAATACATATTGACACAATGTAAACAACTACGTCACTGTTTATTAAAAATGTTAAATTGTACATTTTTCATAATTTCTTTCCTCTTAAGGGAGTCTTCTTTTGTGAGTTTAAACTGAAACTAGAGAAATGACTTAATGAGTAAAAATGACTAGTTTTTTTTTAAAAGCCCTGGTGATCTGGCCTCTGCCCCACTCCCCATCCAGAGATCATACTTCATGTGTGTTTATCTTCATTGTCCCCATATGGAAATGCTGAGTGATATGGAAACCTGGAAAATATGAATGATAGATTTATGTAAAGATATATCTTTTCCTTAGATTGTAGAATGTCCTTTCCTGTGTAGGGATATGGGTTTCTAACAACCATGTAATTCAGCATTTCTCAACTCCAGCACTATTGACATTCGAAGTCAGGTAATACCTTGCCATGGGGAGCTGTCCTCTGCACTGTAAGATGTTTAGCAGCATCCCTGGCCTCTACCCACTAGATGCCTGTAGCACACTATCCCACCCCACACAGTATGACAATCAAGATTGTCCGTAGACATTGCTAAATGTTTTCTGGGTGGCAAAGTCGCTTTTGTTGTGAGCCACTGATGTAAATTATGGAAGAAAATTTCTTTTTGGTTTTATTTACATTAGAGTTTGCTTAACTCAGTGTTAATGAGTACCTAGATTTCATTCAGGCATTCAGAAATAGAAAAACATACAACAGTCTGTTTGACCTGTCCTCGTGGTGATTATATATGGTTTTCCTTGCATTTGTATATTCTAATGGCATAGGAAAAATAAGAATCCAGTCTTTTCCCATGTAATTGTTAGGGATATTCTGTGCCAAGCCAGATTTCACATGCATTTCCATTCCATCCATCCCAGCATTCACAGTTGCCACAGCTACATATTCCATTCCCTGCAACAAAATGCATAAGGGAATCGTTATCATGATTGAAATGCACCAAAATACGTTATTATAAACCATAACTGTTTATAATTAAAACCATTTCATTAATCTCTGATGCTTTTCTTATTGTGTGGCCATCTTATTATTTCCTTCTTGTTAAAGAGCTATGAGAAATATGATCTTTCAAACAATTAATGGCATCTATTTGGTGCCATCATCTATGTAATATTGATCTAATAGTGACCGTTCTATATCACTCCAGCTGGGCTTCTATATCATAATTTTGATTTTCTGTAGAAAACAAGTTATGTCTGACTTAATGATAAATGCTGAAAAACATAAAGCTCCTTGACATAGTATGAGGTAGATTGAGCAATCAACTAGAAGAGGAGCCTTATAGTAGAAATGAACAGAAAGTGAGTGTCTAGCTTAATGGCACACAAATATTTGCCTTTTATCTTAAGCTACAAACAGAAAGAACGAATATACATGTCTATTTCCACTGCAACTTTAAGAAGATGTATTTTATAACCAATTATTAAGACTCAAGAAATGGGGATAGCAGTATCTATTACACTCTTAATTTTTTTTGTAACTTTATCCCCCCAATATACATATAGCCCAAAAAACATATCAACTATCTTTGAACTATCTAGTGATACCTTGAACCTGTATAAAATAATGGTTCCATTCTCAAAGTGAAATGCTTGTCAAGAGAATTATTTCATTTTTTCAGTATATGACTTACCTATGTGTATACATTGGAGAGGTTAGTTCCCTTACATTGATAGTTAGCCCTTGAACATGGAAGCTCTTCTGCCCTGAGATCTACAGCAGTATGTGATGGGTGTTATTTGTTTTTACTGCAAACTGTGGCATAGATCAATTAGAGCAAGTCAATACAGCACCTGTGCAAATGAGCCCATCATGTTTGTCACAGTCTCTGTCGTCACAGTCACAGAATTCTCCCGAAATATACCATTCTTCAGCAGAACAAATACATTTTCCACAGTGACAAGAACCTGAAATCACAAAGGATATTATTGGCTGTAACCAGATAACTCTAAAGGTTTCCAACTAGAATAGAATATCATCAATGCACTGACGATAGGTTTCTGATAACCTCTCTTCCAAAGGTAAAAGTTTATTGAATAGCCAATTACTCAGAGAGGAGCTTTACTTACTGTAATTCATAAAGGTTATCCAGGAAAAGCTTCATTATAGATCTAGACAGTTGCAATTAGCCTTGAGCAAATGTTTCATGGCCCAGTCTGGTTGAAATGTCAATGAGAGCAGAATTCTTATAGATGGCTTTCCAAAAAGGTATTCGGAAATAGATACTATTTTTTAATTTTTTTCTGAAGTAAATCAGTTTTAAAGGTATCTATTCTTTAAAGGAATTAATACTAAGTTCTATTAAATGAGGATGCATTTTGTAATTAAAAGTTACTAAATTATTGTGCTTATAATTAGGGATTTTTGTTTACATGTTTTTCTCAAAGTAAGAACATCCCTGAATATTGGGTGGTTCATTAAAGTGCTAAAAGTACACACACATTTACTCGTGTATATTTGACTTATTAAATCTCATCCTCTGATTTCTTGCCATAATCAAGGATAGTTCTAATCACTCAAAATGTTAATCTTTTCTGAGGCTCTAGATCCAACCACCTTTGTCATTACTTCATCCATTTCCCCTATCTAATTAAAATATTCTTCATTGGCTATAAAAAGTATTTCAGTTTGCTGAGAAATAATTTTATTAATAGTATATTTATAAGAAAAGAAAATATATGAAATAAATGGTGTCAGAAAGAGAAGAAAGTTCTCTTAGTCTAAATGTCATTAAATGATAGGCTAAAAAACCTTCACATGGCAAAATTACTTCTACAATAGCAGTAAAGAGAACTTTAAAATTAAAAAAGAAACACTCATAGAATGGACTTCCCCTCTTTCCTGTTTCCTTGGATTGGATGTTCTTCCCAAATCTGATTTCCTTTTACTAAAGATGGCTATCGCCATAAGAGAATGTGAAGTAGAAAAAGTATTTTGATGAATTTAATAAAATTCCAGACTTGGTAAATTCAAAATATATTGGGACGGGGCAGGAATCTATCATTAGTGCTTCTATGAAACAGTGATTGAAATTTGAGTTAGCCATCTGGGTAATAAAAACGGTTAGAGAAAGGAATTTATATTTATTGTTGAGATCACAAAAGGATTTCTATAAACATGTCCCAGGCATTAAGCACTTGGTGGTATTTCATGTCATGAAAACTGGTTTCTTGCATTTTGAGTGCAAGAATCTCCAATATCTAACTTAAACTTTTGGCATTCCTTGTCATTCCTTTTAGGGTAAGGGAGTAAGTAGTCAGAATTATTTATATGCTGAGACTGTTTACATTTATTAACTTCTTGCTTAACCACAGCATGATTTCATTTAGTCTTGACTTGTTTTCCTGAGGGTCTAGGTTAATTTGCATGCTCTTGAGCAAAATAGACAACCTTCAGTTCTAATGAGTGACTGATAGCCTGGTGATTGTTTCAGACCCATGAATTGGGCCTCCCAAGTCAGTCTGTGAGATCTAGTGTTCTTGTCCAGGTAAAGTATTTCTTTATTTAGAAGTTTATTTTAGACTTTCTTTCAAATTTCTAGGCACAGAAATGTTCAACATTTAACTGATCATTTTGCAAATGGTTAGCACTATATCTGCAAGCAAAAAAAACAAAAAAACAAAAACTTGGGGCATTTTATTGACTTTTCATTAACATCTCCTCAGAAGGCACCATATTTGGTGCTTTATTTCCATAAGTGGAGGAATATTCTTTGAAGAAGTTGACCATTTTTAATTGTTTCTAAAATAGTATATCACCCTTACATTGCAATTTTTTTTTCTACAAGAGAAGCAGAAGTAAATGACTTGATATGTCCATGGTATTCATGTGTTACACCAAGGATGTCCCCTCCCCCCCCACCCCCCCAC